TGTCCCAGGGAGGGATTGAACTGGCAACCTTTTGGTTACGAGCCCTGCTCATTACCACTCTGCTACTCTCACCTGTCTCACATCCATTCTCATGTGATAGACTTCACTTTCTTTAACCCTTTCGCACCTAACTTATTATATGCTATGTAGTGAGCGTGTTACGTTACATAGTTCGTTATGTTTTCATTAGGGTTATTAAGCTTCTCATAGTTTTCACCGCCTCATTTGCTATACTTTTTAACGTTAAATCGCTGTTTCCTCAAAGCTAACATTAGCTAGAATTTTTCCAATCTAGTGTTCTAATCGCACCGGTGTGAGCGTACGTGTGAAAGGGTTAATCGCACCGGTGTGGGCATACGTGTGAAAGGGTTAATCGCTGCGGTGTGGGCGTACGTGTGAAAGGGTTAATCGCACCGGTGTGGGCGTACGTGTGAAAGGGTTAATCGCACCGGTGTGGGCGTACGTGTGAAAGGGTTAATCGCACCGGTGTGAGCGTACGCGTGAGAGGGTTAATCGCACCGGTGTGAGAATCCACAGGCACACACAGACGAATGCATGACCCCCGGCGGGAGGGTTTAAAGGCGGTGTTCTCTGCTCCCCCCCCGGCAGCCCGGCCCCAGCCCACCAGCCGCCCGCTCGTGCCCCAGGAGGAGGTGCAGGCCCGCAGCGTGCTGTTGTCATGGGAACCGGGCAGCGACGGCCTCTCGCCCGTCCGCTACTACACCATCCAGTCCAGGGAGCTGCCGGAGGGCAGCTGGAGCATCCACGCCGCCGCTGTCAGCCACGAGTCCAACTCCCACATCGTGGACGGGTGAGGGCGGGGTGAGGGCGGGGTTACGGGGGGGACTCACCTGACCGGGCGCGGTCAGAGCCCCGCCCGCTGCTGCACTGAGGAGTGCCTGGTAGGGATTAGCCATCAGAATGTTAGGGAAGAGGGGAGCGGGTCAAGGTTAGGGGTTAGGGAGGTGCAGCAGTGTGGAGTAGGGGTTATGGAGGTGCAGCAGTGTGGAGTAGGGGTTATGGAGGTGCAGCAGTGTGGAGTAGGGGTTAGGGAGGTGCAGCAGTGTGGAGTAGGGGTACTGTTAGGATTTCCAAATGGGTCATTTCTGTTGCATTTATTGGCATTCTCAACAATGTGAATAATTCCAATAGAAATACACAGCTGTATTCTAGGTTTATGGATATTTTATGATATTGTGGGCCTGGCTACAGGTCTGATAGTCCAATCAATGATGAGAATCCACAAACTACACAGCTACAAAGCCAGTCTCTCCGTTTATCCCACTGCAGACTCAAGCCCTTCACTTCCTACCAGTTCAGAGTGAGGGCCACCAACGACATCGGGGACAGCGAGTACAGCGACCAGAGCGAGGCCATCACCACGCTGCAGGATGGTAATGACCTCTGACCCCTGACCTGTGTGGAACAGTCATGTCTGATCGTTTGCATGAGTTTTTATGTCACCCCTGTGGGTATTAACGCAGTTTTACTCCCACAGTGGATTGTAGTATGTAGGTTACGCCGAACTAAACTGCCCTGATAATGTGTGCTATGATTTACTAACATGTCTGAGGCATTGCAATGCTGGAAGCAGAAGTCTCGGTGAAAGAGAACAAGAGTTTTATGTTTAAGCAAAGCGTGTGCTTTAGGGAGCAATGTCACAGATGATGCAGACAGAGGGTTTCTTTCTTAGCTCTTGTAACTTCACCAATGCATAGAATCAAGTTTTCCTTACATCTATAGAAAGTCCCACTTGCAGATTCTACTCCTTACAGTACCTCAGGCATGAAGTCAGTCTTCATGTTTCTAGAAAATTCCACCACGCATTTGTGCTGATTACTGTGTTTGGCCTGTTTCTGAACAGATCCAGTGTGTGTGAGTGTTAGTGTGTTCAGGCCATACCCGGGCCTGAAAGCTGCCGGGCTGTTTGACCGACCCCACACCCTGATAGCCGAACTCAGTACACCCCTCCCTCTGTTCCCATACAGTCCCCGACGAAGCTCCCACAATCCTCTCTGTCACACCGCACACCATGACGTCCGTGCTGGTGCGCTGGCAGGCAAGTGCTGGGGCGGGGCCGGTCCTGAGGGATTGTGGGTAACCGTAACGTAGGAATGGGAGCAGGGTGAAACCCAGCTTCTACACAGAACATGTTATGACATAATGCATTGTGCGTGATAGAATATGTCATGTGTCATGCATGATGTATTATGAATGCTTAATGCAGCTGTTATACCGTGTTTATGTAGGTTTTACATATGTTTATGTAGATGTATGTACAATGTACGTACATATTTACACACTTCATGTATGTACAATGTGATTAGTTTCTGAGTGTAAATGTTCCTATAGGACAGTTTATGAACTGTTTGTCTGTAACATGCACTGGGACAATTTCATTGTTGAAGATGCGATATGGATTAAAATCTGATATGGTGCTGTGTGGTGTTAGCACTGGGGCGCAGGAGGAGGGGAGTGGTCAGATGTACATTGTACTCTGTAGGCGGGAGCAGAAGGGGTTAGGATTAGAGGAGCATTTTTGGGAGGGTTTGCAGAGAGATGCCCAGGTCTTACTGCCCCCCCATCACCCCCCAGCCCCCGTCTGAGGAGAGGATTAACGGGGTCCTGCTGGGGTTTCGGGTGCGCTACCGGGAGCTCCTGTACGACCGGCAGCACAGCTACACCATCCGAACCATCAGCAACCCCTCAGCCAGCTGGGCCGAGCTCACCTGTGAGTACACACACACACACACACACACACACACACACACACATTCACACACACACACACACACACTCACCACACACACACACACACACACACTCTCACACACACACACACACACGTACACTCACATACACACGCACACACTCATATACACACACACTGACACAGACGGGGGTGTTTTCTTCTGCTGGGTGATCTCAGTGTGCACTAATGGACTAACCTCTGTGTCTCATTCTCCTCTCTCTTTACTGGCTGCACCCTAAACTCTCCACCCCTCACTGCCCTACTCCTCCCTGCTCCGCCCTCCGCCCCGCCCCCACACCCCACCCTCCGCCCCGCCCCACACCGCCTCTCCCAGCCCCCTACAGCATGCGGAGCCTGAACGAGTCCACACTCACCCAGTACCAGCTGGACAGTAAGTCCCTCTCTCTTCCGCTCCCCCTGCTTCACTCTCACTGTGTGTGAGTGTGTGTGTGTGTGTGTGTGTGTGTGAGTGTGTGTGTGTGTGTGTGTGTGTGTGTATATGAGTGTGAGTGTGTGTGTTTGTGTGTGTGTGTGTGCATATGTGTGTGTGTGTGTGTGTGTGAGTGTGTGAGTGTGTGCGTGTGTGTGTGTGTGTGTGTGTTTGTGTTTGTGTTTGTGTGTGTATGCATACGTGTGTGTGTGTGTGTGTGTGTGTGTGTGTGTGTGTGTCTCTTTGTATGAGTCTGCATGTGTTTGCTTCTTTCCCGTTTAAGCTACTACTAAAGCATTACTGCAAGCTTCCCACACACACACACACACACACACACACACACACACACACTCACAGCCCGTAACCCAGAGCTGAGTCCCCTCTGTGTGTGTGTTTGAGTGTTGAGCTGGTTTTGGGTGGGAGCTTTGTGTCAGTATGAAACAGTGGGAGGCTGACCTGGCTGCAGCACACCTGTCTGCTGCTGTCGGCCTCAGGTCTGCCTTTCACAGCTGCGCTGACCTGAACTGAGAGCTGAAGTCAAGTCTGAGTTGCACTTTGCGATCTGCTTAATTTTTAAATATTTTTTCATGCCATTAAATTAAGTTTTCTCATTGTTCATATTTGGCATACATTTCATATTTTAGCATTGGGACAATTTCCATCTGTATGTAGGATTCATCCTTATGGCTGATACCTCCATTCAGCACGTGCACCTGTTACTTGTAACGTAACACTTGGTGGTTCCATTTGCCATCTTTATGTTTGCTTCAGCATTATAGCTGATATCTTCGTTCAACCTAACACTTAGTGGCTGTAACTTATAGTATTGCTTGACAGTTATACATTGTGATTTATAATTTCACTTTTTACCTATTTTGAGACTTTTGGCATGTAAGAGGTAACACTTCCATAGCAGTGTGGTATAAGAGAGGGAGTTGTGGGTAATGGATGTGTGTTGTGCTCTGCAGATCTTAATAAACACAAGCGCTATGAGATCCGACTGAGTGTTTATAACGCAGTGGGGGAAGGGCCAACCAGCACGCCCCAGGAAGTGTTTGTGGGAGAAGCAGGTGAGTGGTGGCAGGAAGTGCTTTCCTTCATATCTTTGTAGTTTCAGTTGCCATTGCAATGTGAGATGGACTACAAATGCCAGCTCACCACTTACAGTGCATCACAGTCTCTTACTTTATGTAAGAGGTTAACACTTCCATTAAAATCACACTTGAATATGAAGAAAGCTTCAGTGAAACTCACAGATGCTGGTTTTACTCTATACATGAAGAAACTGAAACATTTTTGTGCATATTTTTACCTTATTGCAGCACATCTTTTAAGCGCTGATTTTAAGAAGGAGCCTTACACTGACAAATGATGGAAATCAGCACCTTAGGCTTCTGCCAGTTCTGGCAATTCAGTGCTTGCATTCTTTCTGTTCCTGAAGGATAATATCTTTCAGTGTTGCTTCAAGCATTCTTAGATGACTTGTTGTGTCTTTGAGTCCTGGATTTGTCAGTTACAGATGGAACTTCTCTGTACTCTGTACATTGATAATGCTATAAGTATTACACCTTCAGAATCGGGTCAGCTGTTTCACTCAGTTTTTTCCTTCTTCATGAAGTAATGCAATTCTGTACTGATCCATTCATCCATATGAAAGGTTACACACATCCAAGCACTATAACAGGTCAATGTGACTTTTTGCATAGGAGTGTAAAATGTCATCGTCATCTATGAAATCACGTGAAAACTACCACACAAAGACCATTTCTGCTGCTTAGCCTGATGTGTCTCACTTGCTGCCAGTCTTGGACAGACAGAAACTGACTTTAGTGAATCAACTAATTATTTGGCTGTCAACACAAAAAGATTTGCTACACATTTCTGTCTCCT